TGTATCACTGAAGAAATCACCAACTTCTCAAAATAGATATATATGTATATATTACTATTAGTATTTAATTATGAAATTTTTAACTTTAGAAGAAATCCAACGCAAAATCTCTTTGCAAATAATTTTTGATTTTCCACAAAATTAAACTTCATAATTAAATACTAATATTGATATATATAGACATATATATTTTTGAGAATTTTAAACCTAGAATTTTCCACTGGGGATGTTCTTACCTAGAGCCAAAGTGAAACCTGTAAAATTTGGGATCCCAATCAATTATTTTATAATCAAATAAAACACTTAAAAGTATTTATTATAGATATTTTATATAATATTTCAATATATTCATTTATAGGTCAATATTTAAAAATTATATATATATATATATATATATTTCTAAATAGTTATTTGTTTGTATATTATATTAAGACATATACTTTTATAAATTAATATATAAGGTTTTAAAAAAATGGGGGCCGTTGAAATAATGAATCCAATATAATGTTTCAAAAGAGTGGTTTCAGGTCCAGCTCTGTTTAGATCCACACCATATTGCAAAGGCCTGGCCGTGCTTCCTACGTCCCTTTCTGTGAAGATCTTCGATCTGATGACGAATAGCTCGATCAATGAAGGTTATGATAGTCGTCTGGTTGTTTGGAAGCTCACCGTGTCTCCAGCTGCTTCTTTCTTGCCAAATAGTGTGGATCAGAGATTGAAACACATATCTAAACAAGAAGGTTGTAGTCTTATCCCGAATGTCCTGCAACAGAGCTAAACCTTTTTCCAACGGTATGTGTACTGAGTACCAAGAAAATTCTTTGTTAGATTTCTCCATATCTGTTCGGAAAAGCTCCAGCTGAAGAAAATATGGCCTCTCGTGTGGCAGTATGATTACTGCGTTTACACACACACCAGTTAACCTATTGTGTAAACAATGTCACAATCGAATAAGATGTCATTGTAACACTTTAGGATCAAATCCACAGAGAACTGGTGATCTATAATATTAAAAATACACAAACTTTCATAATCTAACCAAATAAGATGGATGATTGGTAACAAAGTAAGATCCTAGAAATATAAAACAATATAATCTCAAATTCAATCAAGAAATAAGTTAAAGAACTAAACTTTTAATCAATAGGAAAAATAGGGTTCATGAGACTAGGCATTTGATTTCAAGTGACTAAGATCCAATATAGAGTGGCAAGCTTTCAATCAATATGTTTTCTTAACTCTAGACAACAATCCTAAACAAGTTTTTTGCCAAAAAAAAATGTTCATTTGCTTTCAATCATCAAACATCAAATAGCTTTAATTTAATTCAAGCAAGCAATCATTAAGAGTAAGTTTACTAACTATATAAGCTTTCCTAACATCAAATATCTTTGGTTAAACAAGTAAAGAGAAAATTTGAGTTGGTTCAAATATTTCATCAAACACCTTCAAAGCATGAAATGTCTAGAGATGAAATGCCTAGAGCTCTAGTTTAGAGTGATCAAGACTAAACTAGCATCAAAAACACTCAACGAACAAGGAAATATATATATTTAACACTAAACACCCTAGATCTTTACTTAATCATCCTGATCACTTACCCATGAATCCAAAAAAAGTTTACTCACTAATCGCCATGAAAAACCTTAAACCCATGTAACGTTTAAGGCTAATCATCTTAATGAGCAAAAGAAACACAATATAAGATGAAATACTTCCTTAAATGATTAAAAGTATTCGAAATTTTACAATATTTGACAAAATCTTGAGAAAAGAATAAGATAAATCATAAGATTAGATCTAAAGAATATATGTAATAAGCTAAAAATTAATCAGGTCAATCCAACAAACCTAAACTGACTCAATAGAAAGGGATAAAATCAGGTCAAATTCTGGATGTTGACTTTGGTAAACTCGTAGCAGCCTTTGGATGCGTCGTTTGGCCACTGCGCCAACACTAATTAGCACTGATACCCTCCTTGATTTCCTTAGCCGCGGCCAGTGTAACCACTGCAGCTTCCCAAGTCAGACTCTGCACCAACTTCATTATATTCCCGCACGTGGTCGTCGTACACTGCTGCACCAAGCCGCACCAACACTTGGCTGAGAAGAGGTGTTGTCGTCTACAATCCACAGCGACCTTATGGGATGGCATTTAGGCCGCTGTGTGCACCTGGCGGCCATAACACTTACTCGCTTAGCCTCCAAACCCATTTCTCGAACAAAGATCACCTTTTGCCTCATAATTAGCTCTAGTTGGTCCATTTCCATCAAATGGTATCTCAGTCACCTAATAAAGATATAGGAAATACAATGCAACCTAAACAAATCTAAATGTTATCCAAAATGATGAAATTGTACAGAAATTGGTTATCAGAACAATGTAAATAAGCAAGATAACACAGTGTCGAAATGTATAGTTACAATAGAGTTTCAAAAAAGTATGGTAATAACAGATATTATAGCTAGCAAATATTATTGCTAAGTCTCGAACTTCTGCAAAGAATTGCCTCCTTGGATATCTTCAAAAGTACTTGGTTTAGTGTATTTCAACCATCGACATTAACTGCAACACAACAACACCAGAACTTTTTTAACATAGAAGTGGAGCGGTGAAGTAAAATCTGAATTGTAAAACAAAAAATATTTTTAATAATTAGATAAATTAGGGTCTAAAAAATTTAATCTTCAAATACATTTTGATTATGGTTTATAATTTTTAATTATTATTTTTCTGAAACACAAACTTCCATTAAATTAAATAAGTTCAGGATGGAGCATGATGCTCAACACCTACAAACAAACTCTGTTTAGCAAAGTATATCAGCTGCCATGTTCTTTTCTCATGAAATCCAACCAAAAGAGATTGAAACAAAATCTGTCGAAGAGCAGAGAATATCTGCAACGACACCATATAGCTCCAATAAAGCATTACCATTGTTGATGCTGTCTATCAGAAGTCTTGAGTCCGACTCACATTTGAGCTTTTGGATTCCCAAATCCTTGCATTTAAGCAAGGCCGCTCTCATCGGTCAAGCTTCTCCCATCAATGGAGAGTGAACATGCTGCATAATCTCGGAGAAGTTGAGAATTTCGCCACGCGGCATCATCAGTACGTACAATAGTAGAAGTCTCAAGTTGTGTCAAAGGGTCTTTTTAATAAAACTTTAAATATAAATATAGTTATTAAATTTAAATTGTTATTTCGTTAAGTATCGTGTTAATAATTTTTGAACATGGCTTTAAAATATATTTTAAGACATTGTCCATTTTTGAGCTATAATAACAAGAAAGAAAAATAAAAGTCTAGAAAACATGACACACACACACACAAAGACGGGCATGTGGCGTGACGTAAATGTAACATAGATCTCTATTTACTCACGTTATAGTGCATGTAGAGTGAAGAACTTCTTCAAAAAGAATCTCATTCTCAGTCATCCAAATTAAACATTTTCTACAAAATGTTCTCCTTTCTCGTCTCATTGTTGGACATTATTAAGCTTGTTATTGCTTCCGTGACCTCCTTAGTCTTCTTAGCCTTTTCCGGTCTAACATTCGCCGGTTCAGCCGTGGCATTAGTTGTATCCACACCGCTTTTTATCATATTTAGTCCGATTCTCGTGCCCGCGACTATATCCACTGCTCTCCTAGCCTCTGGGCTCGGGGCCGGTGTAAGCCTTGGACTGACCGCCATTGGCCTCATCATGAGGCTCATTAAGTAATATTAAAGAAATTCTTTTGAAATTACTCAAGATTCTTGCTCATATTTTATTCACATACGTAGTACATTTGGCCGAGGTTTTGGATGTCAGATTTAATAAATATTTTAATAAAAATGCCTCATATTTTAAAGGCATTTGTAGCTTCTGTGTTTCTCAATTTTGAGTTCGATAAGCTCGCCATCTACTCTCTCTAAAACGTTTCGACAATTTTAGTTGACTTGTTTTAATCTCTTACTCTCCTTTATCTCCTTTGTCTATGATTCTGTTTACATGGTACCTCCTTTTGGACCTCGTTACACCTTATGTTGTTATTACCACTATTTATAGTTCAACTGATTAGTTGTCTTTTTCTTCAAAACCTGTGTGTGTGTGGTAGGCCTGCGGGAGGAACTTCGTTGTTTTTTTCAGCCCCAACAACGTTGGATTTGTTACAATATCAAGGTACATTTGAGGGATCGGTGTTAGGAAAAACATATACTGGAACATTCAATAATAAATCGGGAGGTGGAATTAACTGGACTGTGACTTGGGGTAGTCGAACTTTTTCTGGAACTATCCCATTACCTGCGGCTGGAGCTGCCCCCGCGGCTGGAGCTGCACCTGCACCTGCTGCACCAGCGGCTGAAGCTGCACCCGCGGCTGCACCTGCTGCACCCGCGGCTGCACCTGCTGCACCCGCGGCTGCACCTGCAGCACCCGCGGCTGCACCTGCAGCTGCGGCTGCACCTGCAGCTGCTGCTGCACCACACGCAGGGTAAGAAAATTGTTCGAGCTGTTCCAGCATGCTTATAACATAGGTAAAATTAATTGCGTGTAGAATAAATGATTTATGACTCAAAAACAAAAGGAAACAAGCCTACGTAATGTTAAAAGTATAAGACTGATGATATAAAGTTTATTGGAAAAAAAACAATGCGGCAAAACACTTATTTGCATTTTGTTGAAAAGATGTAACGATTTGGAGTAGATTTTGCGTGAGGCCATTGAGAAGAAGAAAAATGAACTTGTAATAGATATTTTTGGGTCGATTTTATTACTTAACAAACCGGTTTGGATAGTTCAGAAGAAAACAAATCGGTTTGGATAGTTTCATGTAATGTAGTCTTTTAAAATGACAAGCTATTTAAGAATCATGTGTTAGTTTTATGTGAATAGTTTCCAGATTGTACTATTTATATTGAGAAAATTCTTTTTAATTAAAGGTGGACATACACTAAAGCTGATGAAAATATTACTCTTACACCATTAACCATTGACCAACGTGTTACAACTCGATCAGTCCTTGATTCGAAGAGTGTCAATGAACCTTTCCCCTTGAGAGATGTCATTCTTGACAAGAAAGTCAAGAAAATCATTAAAGCTGCTCTCTCTATACCGAACCGGGTTTTCATCGTTAACCAATTGGGACGGTACGCTCATCTTATCGTCCATACCCAAGCTATGCAAGCTCGCGAGGGAGATTCTCGTCTTCTCTTCGTTTAGAGTAACTTTATGAATGACGCTCTTGTATAGTCCATTGCTTAGCACCTCCACATGGTCACCAATATGGACCTATTAAAAATCCATATAGATAGAGTGGCACTATTAAAAAAACAATAAATTAAATAATTATAGTCTGGTCAGTATGGTTTTAGGTTTAAACCGAGATAGTGAAAACATAACCGGGCATTCGGTTGATATATAATTAATGTGATTTTCTCCGGTTAAGATCTGAACCGGAACAGTTGGAACGTACCTTGAGTACACCTTTAACTTCTGGGACATGAACCCAGCGGCCAGAGCCACCGTGAGCTGTCAGATCAAAGATCTCGAGACCGGTCAAGTTCTGTAGAAGGATGGTGATGCAACTGTAGTCTGAATGCGGCGGCAGGCCTAGCGCCGTCTTAGGGTCCGGACACGGTGGATAACAGTTAACGGCCATGACTTGCATGCCGTTTTTGTCCATTCGAGACGACAGGTATTGCCTTCCTAGTCCTAGGCTCTCCGTTATTGCTTCCATTATCTCGAGAGATAGAACCCTCACTGCCTCGCAAAACTTTCCCATTTTTTCCCTAAAATACGTAAACGCATATATTCCCATAAACAAACTCACATGCTACACGATGATTAGCCAATATATATACTAATGATGTGAATGACATTGAAGGTTTAGGGGAAAATTACAAATGTAAAACTTTTCTACATCAAATTACAATAGAAACTAGAAAACCTTTGTATAATCTTCTTACTTCTTTATCAATATTAATTGAATATTTGTCTTAATAAATTTAAAACCAAAATAGTCCTGATATCATATTTATTAACTATTATCTTCAGCTCTTTTATACACGTGTTTATTAATTATTACATACACAATGACATACACAATGACATAAATATGATAGTATATTTAATTTAACTTAGAAAAATATAAATGCTAAAATAAGAAATATAAAAGATTGATGGTCCTTCCAGTGCCCTTCCAAAAATTTTAGTGGCCTAAAGAACATCTGGTGAATATGTTGATTTTATAAATTAAAGATGCAAGATATAACACTAAACAATATAAAATGTTAAAAATATTAAGTATGTTTGTCAGTAAGGAGAACATCGGTCAAGGATATATTGATACAAATTCAAACGGATTAATCACTAATCAAATTAATAAGCTATAAAATGTGGCTTTTTAATTTAAAATGTATTTGTGTGACTTGAAACAACATGCCTTATAAAAGGAACGGGTCCTGTTTTTAAACCTTGCTAAAGCTAGAGCGGTCCAATTGATCAAGTCCATTATGTATACAAGAAAATAACAAAAGGCGCCGCTACATTGAATTGTTTTTACTTCTATAAATGAAATGTATGATGACCTCATCAGTGACATACTGACAAATATGGACTATATAAATAAATGTGATCATGAAATACGTATCTAAAGTATATAATAATACCTGTATTCAGGTGGGTTTTGAGGCCAGAGATGAATCCAACGATGGAGAGGGTGTGCATAGTGCTTTAGAAATATCCTCCAGAATTGGATCTTGTCCAAACCATCCTTGAGACTCGTAGTGTACCGAACCGGTGCATACACATCGTTCGACATAAATTTCTTTTTCTCCTTCGCTGGCAGCTCGAAGAAGCCTTTCGCAACCGCCAATGCATCGTCCAGTATGCTCTGGTCAATTCCGTGGTTCACTATCTATATATGTAGAGAGCCACAGAAAACATGTTGATAAATATCGAAGAAATTTACCAAGAAACTCCGTTTAAACCGGGTTTCCACAGAATGTGATAGCAACGTCACTAGTCATGTGTGAAAACTAAAATAACTAAGGAACTGATATTTTGACCGACTAAGCTGATATGTACATATATATATATATATATATATATATATATATATATATATATATGTATATATATGTATATATATATAACTTGGCTAATAAAAATATATAATGACAAAGGCAATGGTGGCTACTGGCTAGCCAATAGCCTATGGGCGATAAACTACGAGAAAATAAATAAATTATTTTGACAATAAATTCGGGAAAAGGAAAATATAAACTCAAATTCTACGAATTTTACGTAATATACATATGTATCTTTTATTTTTGGTAAATATATATACATAACTTACTTGAAAGAAACCGAAATACTGACATGCCAATCTTAGCTCTTGAATAACCCCTCGACGCTCATCATCACTACCTTTCAAGCTAGAAATATCGATCGTTGGTACGCTTTCGGAACTTGAATCGAGCGCATCACGTGGCTCGTAGGAAGATGGGACAACGTAACAATCAGGCACATAAGGCAAACTCCTCTCTTGTGCAGAGTTACCCATTTTGAATGTACTTGAACTCGCACCTTTCTCATTCTCCATTGTTGATGTTTGAAATGAGTTTAATGATATGATATGGAAACCTGAAATATGAAAGTGCTATTGATTCCTCTATATATATGGTTCTAAACCGTCTAATGACGAGTAGTGACATTCGGAGTTGTGCATAAGAAAAACTGACGGTCGAATTCTAAACTATTATTGTTCCCTCTGGGATGATCTAGATCATGTGTACCAATAACGATAGCATAATGAATATACATAGGTTGTAAGAAATATATAAGGCTGACCAAATACATATATGACGGGGGACATTAATAAGATGTTTGGGATATAGTATAAACATGTATAGGTTTTATTTAATGGATATTTCAGTCCCATTCGTAGTACCATATACAAAAAGACAAAGAAAAACTTTCCGCAAAAAAGCATCCTCTTGTCCGGATATTAAGGTTTAATAAATACGCTGGACACTCACGCGGATAGGTAGATAAATCCACCATGTTGATATGAATTTGAGTGGATTTTTTTAAGAGAATGAAATAGTTATATGGTCTTGCGTGAGGTCTAGGTGAATGTTTGCGCTTGTTCCTTCATGCACGGGGAATTCGTTTTTGAAAAAGAAAAAGCCCTTTTCCAATAACTAACTTTATGTATCTAGAAACTTTTAAGACATAAATAATAGATTTGATGTCACGAACATCAAAAGGCCCGTGGTAAATACATGAAATTTCGTGAATTATTAGAGCATCTCCAACGATATTACTCTGTTGAAATATTTAATTTTTTTTTGATTTTTTAATTATTATTATTTTACTTTTTCAGATTTAAAAAATAATAATAATAAATAAATATCAATTAAACGTGGATCGTCATGTATTATGGGAACCCGTAAATAGTGTAAGAATTCATTAAAAAATAGTTGTTATTTAGAGATTTTAAGGATTAAATCCTTAACTTTTTGTATGGTCAACTAATTATTAATTATTTTTTCTTTAAGGATTTCCGCTTAGGGACTCTCCTTGAGGATGGTCTTAGTAATGCACACAAGAGAATGTTAATTAATATTTAAGACGAGAATTAACATAACCAACACTAAATAAATAATACTACAATATTACTAATAAATAAGTAGTTTTTGAAATACAAATAGCTAGTATCGAAAAAGAAAATTTATGAGTGGATGCAATAACTTATTATAGTACGTTTAGTAGTTGGTAGGCATATTAATTTCTATAAATTAGCCGCCCTAAATAAATTTTTGCAATTACAAAAATTGGTTATAACAGAAACTACATTAGCTTTAAAAATATAGAAACTATATGATTGTTTATTAACATATATGCATCTATACAATAATAAATATATACGAGAAAAATTAACTTCAGTCTTTTCTAAAACTGTTTATACATCTAAACTTCAGTCTGTAGAAGTTTAGCTTTAAAATTTAGGATGTAGATTATTTGGATTCAATTGTAAATTTATTGTGCAGATATTTTTCTACTTGTTCAAGACACCACCAAGAGCACAGGGAATGAGAACATCACACTCATGGATTATTTGGATTTGGATTTAATTGTAAATTTATTGTGCAGATATTTTTCTGTTGTAGAAATTTTTATTGTAGTTATATCGAACTTTTGGTTGTAAATATTTCAAATTTAATCATGTGAGATATGTAATGTATATATAAAACAGTATTATTTTCTCTCAGTTAACATACTTCATATTAATAAGTAAAATATAGATTATCAACATTTTACTATTATTTAATGTTCATTTTGAATATTTTACAAAGTTATTCAAAAGTAAATAAAATTATATATATAATTTTAAAATTATAATAAAGTTAATTTAGTATATTTTACCTATAAATATTTAATCTATTTGATATTATATAATATTTTTCATTTAACAGATATGGCCGCCTAAATACCAAAGACATAGAAAGCTTAATTTACATAAGAAATGTTTTGGGTTGATCTCCCAAGAGGATCCAAAAAATGTTTTTTTTTTCACGAAAAGACATATAAAGAAAAAATAATCAAAAATTATTTCATTAAAAAGGTAAATGACAATTATAATATTACACCATTGATATGTAAATATAATAAATATTTAGATAAATGATAATTATATTACAATAATTTAGAAAAACTTGTTCAATTTGAAACTTTTGTGATTTTTTTCAAAACTATTATTTTTATTTGAAATCCGAAATGTTTTTTTTAATATTTATAAAACTACTATATTAAATTTTAAATTGTAACTATATAATTTTAAAAAAAATCATGAACTTGTAATCTCTTAAAGGTTCCAGATATAAGAGATGATTGGTGATGGCTATGAGTGATCTTTAGAGCTTTATATCTCTTTACAGCCACAATATTAAAGCGATTATGATTTGGTTATCTTTTCAAAACCACAGCCAAATCTAATTTTTATCCTTTTTAATGGTTTTGGAAAGCAAATTCTCTACATCATTAGTTCAAGTGCTTTTGAAAATATTATTTATCTTTTCTCATAAAAATGTTTTTTTCTCATTTTAATATGTATATATATAATATAGATTTAACTAATTTAATATAATCATATATTCCTTACCAATATACTCCATAAAAGTATTACAAATTATATATAATCTATGTACTTATAAAACGTTTTTTTCTCTATAATAATACAATTTATATATATACCCAATATATGTTTAACTATTTTAATATAATAATATATTTCTTTACATATATTTTCCACTAAAATATTATATAGAATATAGAATATATGTAACTCTCTATATAGATAAATATGATATATAAATACAAATTTCACAAACATATAATATAAATTTCATATGTTAACTATATATCATAATCTTTTTGTAATTTATACAATACTTAATCAGTTTATAAGTTTTCATTTATATTTATTAGTTTAATTTCGATTTAAAAATAATGAACACATAATTTTTATCTAAAGCATATCATTAATATCTATCAATGTTTTATTATAAAAAATGCTACAGCTATATTATAAATCTACATCCAAAAATACACAACTAAAGTTCTATAACTACAACATAAAATCTAACGGCACAATAGAACAAAAATATAAAGTTACAGTGAATCTAACCAGACCCATAAACTCTAAATTTATATTAGTTAATGATAGGGATATATTCGCACAAATGTAGTTACCTCTTTAATTAAATTTATTTTGGTTATTTTGAATCATGTATGCTATATTTGTGATAACAAAAAATTTTGGTGTTCTCTTATGGTACTTCTCATAGAAAAATTTGGTTGTAGTTTTTGAAAAGGTTAGTAACTTAAATTGTAATGTTTTATCCTACAGCTTTGATCTAGGTCTAAAATTTTAAACTAAAGCTAAATCATACTTGTAAAATTTAATAATTAAAAAAAAATGGAGACAGAAGTTCAACCAATCACCCATTAAATATATATAACACATTTTAATGTATACTACTTGTGATGAGAATATTTATGAAAATGAAACTATTGCAGGTAATTAGCATGATTAATAAATTAAAAAAAAAGATTTTAATGCAGTTCGGCTGAATTTAACAATCACAAGAATCTTAGGAAAATAGTGCTAATTATTTCGTTTCCTTAATGCCGTGATTAATTTAAATAATTTTCATCAATTGTACTTTTAATTTGTTTTATCATAGTTTCATGATTGCTATGTACGTGCACTAAGTGTAATTATATTTGCTTGAAACTATCTATAATTGCTACTGTTGTTTTAATGGTAATAGTACCTTGGGATCTTGGATGTGGAAGAAGTTTCTTAAGCTCAGACATTTAGTTACGCAGCTAATGAAAATGGAGGTAAATAGTGGTTCTACTACTTCATTTTGGTTTGACAATTGGTCTTCTTTGGGGAAGCTTATTGATATAACGGGGGAAAGGGGGACTATGGATCTTGGTATTCCTAGGGAGTGTACAGTGGAGAGAGTTGTTCAGATTTATAGGACTAAGAGACATAGGTCTTCCACGCTTCAGCTGATTGATCAGGAGATTAGGCTGCTTAAAAGGCGAGGTCTTAATCAGGAAAAAGATATTTGTCTTTGGAAGCGAGAGTATGATGATTATAAGGAGGGTTTTTCTACTTCGCACACTTGGAATATTATCAGAGTGACATCTCCTAAAGTGAGTTGGTGGAAGGGTGTTTGGTTTTCTGAAGCAACACCGAGATTCTCCTTTTTAGTTTGGATTGCTATTCAGAACCGTTTGGCTACCGGGGACAGAATTCTTAGGTGGAATTCTCAGGCCATTTCCACCTGTTGGTTTTGTAAAACTGATATGGAGACAAGAGATCACCTCTTTTTTTACTGTGTCTATTCTAAAGAAGTGTGGTTGAGTACTATCAAGAATTTATTGGGAGATAGAAGTGTTTGCGATTGGCCTACGATTGTTCAGGCTGTGGTGAAGGGTAGTCGGGACAAGGTAGTCACGTTTCTGATGCGTTATTGTTTTCAAGCTGTAGCCTATTCTTTATGGCATGAGAGAAATAAAAGACGTGTTGAGGATACTCATCAATCTGCCACTGGGTTTATTGCGAGATTGGATAAATTAATCCGGAACAGGATCACTTCTCTTCAACGGAGAAGAGGGGACAGATATGAAAGAGCAATGGAGGTCTGGTTTGGCTTAAGTTGAAGTTTAGGTGTGGAGTTTCTTGTTCTGAAGTTGTGGGGTTTGGTTTTCTTGGCGCTTGGAGTTTTTGAGGAGTTGGAGCAGCTTGCGTTCTTTCCTCTTACACTCCTCTGATCACAATCTAATTACTCTTTCCTCATTAAAGGTTTATCTCAAATTGAGTTTACTTTAATGAGGTTTTAATCAGGATTAGGTTGTGATCAATCCATTTTTGACTTGTTTCATATGGTCACTTTGAGGAGGAGTGTTGTGTTGGAAAGCTGGATTTTTTTATCTTGGAGTTTTCTTGTTTTTTTCTCTTTTGTTTAAAGCTTTGTTTTTCTTTTTCTTTTTCTTTTGTTAAGGATGCACTTAGTGTAACAAGGTTTTTTTGATTTGAATAAATTTAAAATTCTTTCAAAAAAAAAAAAAAATTGCTACTGTTCCAATACTCATCGACACACAGTGTCTACGAAGTGGCTAAAGACAACTTCCAAAGTTGCACAACACTACTTTGTCAAAACGGAAGACAGGTTCTTCGTCTGCGGTAATCGGCTCCATTGCTTCTTTGGTATAAAGCTACAAAGTCAATGTCGAAGTCTATGCATACCCCTATGGGTGCTCCACGAGCTGCCCCCGGGGTTGCTAGCTCAGCTGGTCGTCTTGGATGCTGCAGTGGGAGGAGTAGTTCAAGATTTTCTTTTCGACCAAAAAAAAGAGTTAAGTTTTTTTTTTGTGTGGTAATTTAAAGAATAACAAGTTGACAACTAAAATGTGAGTTTTCATATACAGAAAAAAAAAATAAGAAATATCTTTTACTAGATGATAACCCGCGCCATGCGCGGAGTGAGTTTTTTAAAAATATGTTGTATTTAAATATATATTTTGCTATCAATATGGACATTTGGGTACTATTTGTTTCGGTTAGATTATGTTTGGTTTAGATCATTGCGGTTTGGTTTGAATTTTTACAGGTTCAGATTGGGTTTAAGTTCGCATAACCCATTTAATTTTTATAAAAAAGATTAAAATTCATATATACTTTAAGTTTTTCAAAACCTAAAAGTAGAAATAATATATAACATAAATTTGAAAAATGAATGACAAAATACTTNGTTTGGTTTGAATTTTTACAGGTTCAGATTGGGTTTAAGTTCGCATAACCCATTTAATTTTTATAAAAAAGATTAAAATTCATATATACTTTAAGTTTTTCAAAACCTAAAAGTAGAAATAATATATAACATAAATTTGAAAAATGAATGACAAAATACTTAAAATTAACATAAAATTGATTTATCTTAAATATTTGGATAAAAATCAATAAATATTTCAAATATTTTTTGGTATTTAGAGGTTGATTGGCTATTTTAAAAATTTGCATCAAACTATTTTACATATTTCTAAGTATTTTAGAATTTTTTAAAACATCTCATGTGTTTTGTATATTCTTAGATGTTAAATTTACAAATAATTAATATATTTAAGAATATAAATCTGGTTCGAGTACACTCGGATACCCGAAATTTTTCGATTCAGTTTTGATTATCTAGATACCAAAATTTCGAATTCGCTTGGATATCTAATCAATTTTGCTTAAAAATTTGTATTCATTTTTGGGTTAGATTTGGTTCGGTTATTTGGATTTAGTTTTTTTTTGTCCAACCATATATTTTTTTTATTATACCAAAAATTAAAACGAAATGGATGATGGTTCATATTGATTTTGGGTATGCAAAAATTTTAAACAAAACACACTCTATTATGGGTGATCCATTTAGTTAATCATTATGAACTATTTAAGACCCATTAGAAAAATGATTGGCTGAACTAAAATCGTTACCATTGATCACAAAATTTCAGTGTGAGATTTTTACCATCTTAAGTAATTTATGGTCATTTTAAAAAATTTAAAATATAACGTATAAGAACATATATAAATTTTTTTATTATATAATTAATGTGATTTTTAATTCTTTTAATAATATAAATTAAATAAAACATAAAAAGTATAAAAAATTGTTATCAAATATTTATTATTCATAAACATTAATTGTGATATATATGTTAATCACATTAGGTAATTCCGTAGCTTTTATTTAAGGAAAGAATAAAAAATCTTCTTTTGTACACTACTAATTAAATATGATAGTTGGTATAATAAAAATAAACTTATGTTTAGTTGGACCAACATATTTCTCTAAGAGTTATGAAAATCATTCTTATTGTGACACGTAGCTACCAAAAAATGTTGTAATGCTCCAACATATAGGAGATTTAAACTATTAATCAAAAATATTATAATTGAAATTTTTCAATGCTTTATTAATTTATAGTCGTTTGTAAAAAAATTAAATATAACATATGTAAAAATCTAATTTTTGGTTATATAGTTAATGTTATTGTTTAATTTATTTTTATAATTAAATAAAACAAAAATAGTAGATGCTATAATTTTTTTTATCAAATCTTCATATTCAAATCATTAATTGTCATATATATATTGTAACCATATTAGGTAATTCCGTAAATTTTATTTAAGGAAATAATGAATAGCATTAATAATAGTTTTATGTTTAGGCTAATAAAAAGTATATTATATGTTTATATGGACCAACATTTTTCTCTAGNATATTCAAATCATTAATTGTCATATATATATTGTAACCATATTAGGTAATTCCGTAAATTTTATTTAAGGAAATAATGAATAGCATTAATAATAGTTTTATGTTTAGGCTAATAAAAAGTATATTATATGTTTATATGGACCAACATTTTTCTCTAGTAAATTTGAGAAGCATTCTCATGCTGACACGTGGCTACCAAAAAATGTTGTAATGCTTCTCAAATAATATATAGGGGATTCATTTTGAGTTATTCAATTCATTTGTTTTCTTTTCCATTTCGGAACATCAATCATCAGCAACAATGAAACAAAAAAAAAACAGGGAAAACAGAGAAAAAACAGAGTATATGAGGGAAGACTGAATAGAATTAAGCTTCCCAACCACGCAACTGGGTGGCTCTAGCAACACGGTTAACTCCAAGAGTGAAAGCTCCCATACGGAGGTTGCAGGAATGAGTATGGCACATTGACTTGATGTTGTGAAAGGCTCTAGTCATGTACTTCTGCAGCTCCAAGTTCACTTTTTCCTCTTCCCACATGAACCCTTGAATGTTCTGCACCCACTCAAAGTAACTCACCGTCACTCCCCCTGCGTTTGCGTATATATCTGGTAGTATAATCACTCCTTTCTTCGACAAAATCTGCCATTAATCAACACATTATGATCAATACTTTAATAGATGGGTTATATAGTGTTATTATCATGCTGCTGTTGCTGCATTACCTCATCAGCATCTGGATCAGTTGGATGGTTTGCAGCCTCTATTATAAACTTTGCCTTCACATCTCCAGCATTCTCCCTAACCAATATTTAAAAAAATAAAGAATCAGAAAGATGAATCTCTATGGTTGGTGTTGATTAAATTGATGAGTGAAAGTTCAAAAAGTCAAAAAAAATAAAGAAATCTTGAATATCTATGGTTAGTGTTGATTTGATGATAGAGTTTTGTTACTAACTTGTTCAAGACACCACCAAGAGCACAAGGAATGAGAACATCACACTCATGGATTAACAGTTCGTTAGAGTCCATAGCATCTCCACCACTGAAATCAACTAGACTTCCAGTTGCCTCTTTGTGACTCAAAAGAGCGTCAATGTCTAGACCTTCAGGGTTTCTAACAGCACCTGTAATGTCACTTACCGCAACCACTTTCCCACCTTTCTCATGGATCAGCTTGGCTGCCCATGTTCCAACATTCCCAAAACCCTGAACAACAAATGTCAATCCCTTGATCGATTTTCCGTATTCAGCAAGCAGAGCTTCAGTGGCATAGACTACACCACGTCCTGTGGCAGCTTCCCTACCAAGTGAACCACCAAGATCCTACACCATATTTATCACACAGTGTTATAAAAATCGGTCTAGACAGCTTTTATACGTCGCCTAGTCGGCAAATCGGACCTAAACAAAATGATTATTCCTTATCAAATTAGGAGGAATAGATTTTCCTTTTGTTTTATTCCTTTTCATTCATTTTTTTTATTCCTCATATTTCTTTAATGGTCACCAGTTACGGCCTAAAAACCGGTCCATGCATTTAAAAAGTCGGTCTAGACATCCTTCTAATCAATAATCTCTTATCAAATGTCTAACTTGCAACATTGCATATACCAATAAAAAGCTGAAAAATTTGGCAATCATAATCATAACCAAGAGACTTACAATGGGCTTGCCAGTGACAACAGCAGGGGAATGACCATGAAACTTGGAGTACTCATCAAGAATCCAAGCCATGGTCTGAGCGTTAGTACCCATGTCAGGAGCAGGTACATCGGTGTGAATACCGATGAGATCATGGATCTTCTGAGTGAAGACACGTGTGAGTCTCTCAAGCTCGCTCAAGCTCAAGTCACGAGGACTGCATCCAATCCCACCTTTAGCTCCACCGTACGGAATGTCAGCAACAGCTGTCTTCCACGTCATCAGCTGAGCTAAAGCGTTGACTTCATCGGGATCAACCTTTACAAAATAAAAACAAAAGTTTAAAAACTTTTTGAGAAACTACGAATCTCAAAAGATCCAATGGAGATTGATGGTTGGAAACAGAGTATAAACCTCGGGGTGATATCTGATTCCTCCTTTCATGGGTCCACGAGCATTGTCGTGTTGAACCCTAAACCCAATGTAGGAGACAAGAGTCCCGTCGTCTTTTGGGATCGTGCACTCCACCTGAAAAAAAACAGAGACGATAAGCGAAAAACAGAGACGATAAGCGAAAAAAACAGAGAGGTTAAGCGAGAAACAGAGAGGTTGAGATAAAGTTGAAACCTTGATTTCTCTGAATGGGATCATGAGACTCTTCTCGATCTTAGAATCCAAACCGAGGATTCGAGATGCGTGACGGAAGTTTCTGTTCGTTGCGGCTAAAGCATTCATGGCTCAAAGTGATCGAAAGATCAAAACTTTAAGAAGACAAAAGGAGATCGAAAGAAGGGTAAGGTGAAAGTTGGATTCTTTGTGGAGATGAGAAGAGATGATGGGAGGAAGAAGACAGAAGAGTGGAGTATTTGTAGGAGAAGAAGAAGACAGAGACAGCGTTTTTTTTTTTGAATGGAAGATTTTTTTTTTTTGACGGAGACGACAAAGAAACCTCTACTTATCCTAGAAATTACTATTTTGTCCCTAGCTATCTAATTTGGCTTTCTCTTTCTAATTAAAGTCAAACATATCTCCAACTCATTGACATGTCACGGTCTATATCAAAAAGAAAAATATCTGCGTGTCACAGAAAAAAGTTTAAAAAATAATGACAGAAAATGACTAAACAAATGAAAATTTAATGAAAATATTTTTCGAACGTGGACTACCAAAAAGATTGGGGTGTGACAGATTTTTTTTTTTTTGACTAGTACTCGTATTTTTCCTTTTTCTTGGTTTGTTAACAACTAGGGACGGCGTTATTATTGCTTTTTAAGAATTTATTATCAATGTTAAAATACAATTTGATGACCTTTTTACCAAATGTTGTCTTCTATGGCTTACTAGACATTTGATGATATTATTAGATAGTGATTGATGAAGCTCTGGATAGACATCTCACATAAGTTCCACGTTAGAACAAAAAAAATGCATCTGGGTCAATGGACTCCCAATCTACTAGATTCTTCATTTATCATAATATCAATAATGCATATACCATCATCTTGATAATGAATATACATATTTACATGTGACTCATGGCCATTATATTTAGTCATACAAAATATTTATTTTTATAAATATTAATTAAAATGTATATTATTTTGTTGAAACAATAAGAAATTCCTCACGATTATATGATGAATCATATTAAACTTTATACTAGATTTTTGATCCGCTCTTAAAAAATTAAACACGGGTATTATTTTTGTTGTTTTATCTACAGATAGATCGATAAATCTTTTGCTTTGATAATATAAAATGTCATTATCTAATATAACCTTTTAAAATTAATGCAAATTTTAATTTATTGTTATCATCAATATATATGTAAATGTATTTTATGTAATTGTGTAGTTATACTATGGGAAAATAATATCAATTAACTACGTCTAGTACTGGGAAAACTCACATTGCCTGACATGCAAAGAAAATATATTCTATCTGCATCCGTCCCACTTACGGGTAATCCACAGAACCTATAGATAATTATTAAATAATAAAAATAATTATTTTTATTATTAAATAGTATATTTTTAATTAACTTTTTAATATTTAAAATATAATAAGTTATTTTAACAAAATTTAGTATACTTTTGAAAAATAAAGTTTTTAAAAACAAAATTGTTTTTCTATTTTTGCGGATTACCGGGTATCCGCAATTGAAATTAGAACAATTTGCATCTGTTTCGCGTAAAATACACTTGACATGCACCCGCAACTTAATTTTCTCATATTGATCTACTTGTTCCGTGGTGGGGCAAAGGGGGCAAGACTCGCGGGCTAATATCAAAATTCTCAGTTCTAACTACGCCAATTAAGGTGGATGTGTTTATTTTTAAAGAAATTTCAGAAGTAATTAAAATGTGAATTGAACCCATTAGTGAAACTCATTAGAATATAGTTTTTAGGCTAAAAAAAAGATAAAGTTATCATTATTTAAAAGTTAAATTTGTTCATAAAATTAATGGTAAATTTGGAAAAAAAAATCATTTTTAAAGAGAATGTTTATGTTTTAATTGTATTGATAAAATAATTAGTATTGAAAGGGCATTTTAGGAACATCTCGCCAAAAATTGTGAAATTTGATATTTTTTACGACAATTGGTGAAATTATTAATTATTTAAGTACGAATATACTTTAGAATATGACAAATTGGTAAAAACATATATTTAAAAATATATTTATTTCAACAAAACGTGAAACAAATAAAAAATGACCGTAAATTAGGCTCATGGGAAGATGCGGAAAACAAGGAGTGGGTCGTCATTCAAGGGCGCGATTCCCTGCGGACGTGACATTGTCGTACTAATGCTTCTATGCAATCTCAGCCGTTTAAAAATCGGATGGTCTTAAATCGTAGGAACCAGATTCGAATTCGTAAGTCAGACACAAGCATATGTTGCATAAGTTACTATCCTTTGCTCTGTCGTTTAATTGGAGGTGACTATTTGCTTGCCTGGCTGTGACGCGGCTACTCGGCGGCTTTGTTGTCCCAATCCCAATTTTTAATTTTCCTTTTGACCTTGTTGGTCTTTATTCAATTTGATCATTTAATTTTAATGCATGAATCTCGTTGTGATAATCACACAAAACTTAAATTAGAAAAATTATATCAATTTTGATTTTATGATTATACGATTAACCACAAAGAGTCTATCAAAACATATATTGCAACTAGATTTTTTTTTTAAAAGATGAAAGTTAGCAAGTATACGTAATTTATGATTACAAATGATATTGGTTTACAATTTTCATAATAACAATCAAAACATGTAAAATAAAATAACAACAATTAAAATTCTTATTAAAACATATCGTGGACCGATGAACCGACTTCTTATCTTTTTGTTGGTACGTCAAACATATCATGAACTCAATGGTGTGCGTCTTTGTGAACATAGTTAGTTTTGATAAATTAATAATCACCGATTCACAATCATGTTTTACATATATTTATTATCGTTTCAAGATACAGTTTCTCTCAATTACGTTTTTTTAAAAAAAATCTCTCAGTTACGTTTATATAATAGATTTGTAGGATTTTGTAGATAAACAACGAATAATACCACAAACTCACGATACGGGCGACGAAACTGAAACGAATGAATTGAATTTTTAATATCTCAAGGAATAAACAACATAAAAGATGGGGAACATTTCGCCGTAAGGATTGTTACATGAACCAATATTTTTATCTTAAAGAATTTTCTCAGTATTTAGGAGGAGGAAGTAACCACTTGGAGCCCTTAATGTAACCAAGAGTTAGGAAAGGCCTAACTTCGTTTTGGTCAACATCTTGTGTGTAAGGCACTCTCTTCTCTTGGTGTGACCCTGGTCCAAAACACTTGTACTCTCCATAGAAGACCGTTCTGCATTAATTTAGACAAACATAATATATCATATCCGTGTAATCGACATATGACTTACATATATATATGTAGATGAGATGTTATGAAATGTTACTTGTCATATCCGCGGTTGAAGTTTTCCCTCCAGCCAGATGGGTTGACGACGCTGGTCATCTCTGTGAAAGCATAAATGACTTTGGGGTGGCTCATCCAAGACCGGCCCAAATAAATTCCGGTTCCGGTTCCAGTGATTTTGCAATGCACGAACGTGTATCCGTTTTGTTCGGTGGTACTTGTTCTGCTTTGTGCAGTGATCACTCTTAATCCGTCCCCAACAGCGTGCAATTTCGTGTTCTAATTGATTTATATATGAATATATATTTCATTAAACGTGTTAGATATATATTAAGAGATATATGTAATAGTTTAAGCTTACCAAGTACAAGGAAGCTCCTCTTCCGAAGATAAAATCATAGGTTCCTTCGATGTAACAGTCCTTGAAGAAATGGTTGCCTTTGTCGTCGCATAGAGTATCTTGAAAGCCGTGGAAACTACAGCTGTAGAAAGCTGCATAATCACCGTTGACCCTCGCAGCTAGAGCTTGTCCTTGTGAGCCTGGTTTCGGCATAGGAGAAGTATTCTACAGAATTACAAAAACAAATATATATACACATCTTGATTAGTTTAACAAGTAATCTTTAATGTGATGCAATAACATACGTAGATCAAATATATACATTTTACATACTTTAATGATGAGGTTAGCTGCCTGGAAATAATCAGACCAGATAATAAGAGTTGCACTCTCTACGGTTCCGTACTGAGCTGCTGTCCCGTGGTAAGTTAAGACCGTTTGTGCACCAGGTTGACCTAGCAATGTAATGAATGGTCGACCTATGTCGATCGTGACCTTCTCAGTGTATACACCTGGAGCCAACTTGATGATCACACGCTTCTTGTTTCCTACCGGAATGCTCTTAATCGCGTCGTTTATTGACTTAAAGTTGGCACCTCCTTTTTGATTAACCTAAAATGAAAATTCAATTTCCATTAGAAATAAAATAACATACACATATATATACGCTGTGAAGATTAAGCAGCTTACGGTGATAATCTGTCGTGCTGCTTCAGCAGCGTCGAGGGCAGGGTTTAGAGTTCCCTTTCTCTGGGAATATGGTGCAACGTTGGTCTTGAACCATTGGGGGATTTTGGTTCTGTCTTCTGGAATCGGCGCTGTATCAGTGGCTAGAACCACGGGCAAGGCAAAAACGACTAGAAATGCAACTATGGACGGCGAAATGTAACCCATCTTTTACTGTTATGATATTTTAATTATTTTCTTTTATTTCATAAAATAAAAGAAAATAATGAAAAAGAAACCAGAGGAAAAAAACTTCACGTTTATTTACTATTGAAGAAACGAAGAAGCATCGAAGGGGTTTATATACTTGTCTTGGTCGTGTGTCTGGCCGAACAGATCTACTTTTTACTATTCTCGTTTGCGGTTTAAATTTTCTTGTAGTATTTCTGAAAATCTGATTAAAATAGTAAATTTATCTACTTTCCCAATTAAAAAACAATTACAGGGAGCAAAGTCAGCTTGTTGATTGACCCTTCCAGCAAGAACTCCGTTATTATGCCAGTTTAAAAAAAAGAAAGAACTCTATTATTATATTTTCTATTAATAAATTTAATCATATAACTCGATAATTTTCCTCTAATATGTATATTCACAATTTTCACCAAAGTTGCGATTCCATCATTTCCAACGGATTGCCAAGGATCAACGTAATCATCTCCCTGATACGTGTGATCATCTTCATAATTATTACATAAATATTCTGCAACACTGTTTATAGCAACTACACTTATTACGTTAACCCTAGGATCCTACATTACTCTCTGTATATATGTAATGTAATCGTCCAATTGCATGTACAACTGGCTCACCATAACGTGGTCAGGTAATTCTAGTTTTCTTTCAAAAACAATAATCTGAAATGGAGTTCTGTGGAAAATAGAAAACTAGTGTGTTCGGGAAAATTTAGTGAAATCACATTTTGCTGAAAAAATTGCAGAATCACATTTTAATTAACTGTATAAGTGAATTTTTGTAGGGTAAGTATACACTAGTTTTCTATTTTCCGCAGAACACCATTTCAGATTAATTGTAGAGTATAACTGCATGTATAAGAGTATAAGATTTTTTGGAGGATAAGTATATGAAAGGGAATATTATTATTTTACTTAATACACTATAAAGTTAAAATAATCAACCGAAGTTTTATGAAATGCCATTTTAATGAAAATACTTTCCAAAAGTATTACTAAGAATATTTCTTTCAAGTATGTAATCTGTTTATATAATTAATCGTTTCTATCTATATTATGATCTACTATATAACTTTTAAGATAAAACCTTAGAAGAATAGTGTATATATAATTTAATAAAACTCAGCATCACAAAATTGGTACTTTTGGAATTCCTCATACAATCAATGTGATTTATTTATTTTTATTTTTTTTTTTTTTTTTTTTTTTTGATAACTCAGGTGTCCGGGGCTTATTTAGAGACCCGACTATCCCCCGAAGGGGTCCTGAAGGCCAAACGGAAACCATGTTAAATCCGCTGTGGCCGGGGCTCGAACTCGTGATGGCGGGCACCTCAGCCGAGGTTCCTTTACCACCAGACCACGAGGCCCGGTTATGTGATTTATTTATGCCCCGTTATTTATTGCTTCTACAGTATAACTTTTTAACATGCATTAATATTCGTGCACGATATGTCTGAACTATATGTAGACGTCTTATGTCGTAAGAATATCCGATTTGTTTAGCAGATTTATGTGAGTTTTTTTTTTTTTTAGATTTATGTGAGTTTGTGATCCCGTTGTCGTTGATCATGATATTCTTACGATATCTCCGCTGAATCGTGGTTCGTAGGCGCTGCTGCGTGTTGTTTAGGCGGCATGCTGAATTGAAAAATCTCGTGACAACTAATAAAATGTACTGAATCGCGACCGTCTTTTATTGCAAGAAACCAAACTTACACAAGTCTCTCAACTAAGAAGAGAAGTCTATTAAATAGCGAGAACTACTCCGATATACATATTCTTGGCGAATAAGTGTAAAAGTATAGTTTTCATTTTTAATAACTTAATATTAAACCTTAAATCCGGGAGGTGGGAGAAGCCACGAGGATCCTTGGATGTAGCCGAGGGAAAGGAAACGGTTAGCTTCATTGGTGTCAATGTCTTGTGTGAATGGAACTCTCTTGGCTGTGTGTGATCCTGGTCCTGTGCACTTGTACTCTCCGTAGAACACGGTCCTGTCCCCAAGGAAAAAAACATTTAAGACCAGACTATATGGATGATCAACATAAGTATAAGTGAGAATCAGACTTACTTGTCATGTTCGGCCACCTTATTTGCTTGCCATCCGGTTGGGTTGACGACACTGGTCATCTCAGTGTAGGCGTAGACAACCTTAGGATGGCTTTTCCATGCTCTACCCAAATAGATCCCACCACCAGTTCCAGTTACCTTGCAGTGCACGAAAGTGTATCCACTCTTCTCTTCTGCGCTCTTTCCCGCATGTGCTGCAATCACTTTAATACCGTCTCCCACCACGTGCAATTGTGTTTCCTTTTGAATTCAACACATTTTACTCATATATATATATCAAGAAGTTTCAGAATCTATGTATTAACAATGTATAAGATGGGATAAGCAAAGTCCGGTTCTGGACACAGCTGGATGAAATATTCATTTTGGTTTCTAATAAAATTATTATATATAGATTGTATGGCTCTTAAATTGTCGATTTTAAAAAAAAATTAAATTAACCTAAAAATTGTTTATCTACTTTTAAATCTTATATCCGGCACTGGATAAAGTATTAAGAATGAATAAGATGGGATAATTAGGTATACGTACCAAGTACATAGAGGTTCCACTTCCGAAGATAAAATCGAATGTCCCTTCAACGTAACAATCCTTAAAGAAATGGTTTCCAGCATCGTCACAAACTGTGTCTTGGAAACCGTAGAATTTGCAGTTGTAGAAAGCCGCCTTGTTTCCAGAGATTCTCATAGCTAAGGCCTGTGCTCCCTTCCTTTTACCATCTGGTGCCGGCGCAGAGTTCTACGTACATAACAAAATATACAAAGATAATACATTTTGACGAGTAGTAACATTTGCATTTAGTTGTAAATTTATACCTTGACGACGATGTTTTCGGCAACGAAATAGTCAGATAAGATGATGAGAGAGGCGCTATTTACGGTTCCATACTCGGCGGCAGTACCATCGAATGTAATAACCGGCATGGCCTTGGGATCTCCCATCAATGTAATAAAAGGTTTCTTTTTGTCTATTGTGACTTTCTCTTTGTATTCTCCAGGAGCCATCTTGATGATCACACGTTTTGTATTCTTTTCAGGAACGCTCTTTAGTGCGTCTGTTAGTGTTTTAAATTCACCTCCCTTTGGATTCACCTGTGGTTATATCACTCAAATTTTGTAATCAATATCTGTATAATTATAACTAGATTTGTTTCCTTTTTGGAGGACAGAGTTAGGTTAACTTGTTTCGTACGTTAATGGTACGTGGTGAGGCCTCAGCAGCTACGAGAGCAGGATCTAAACCTTTACGCGAAGGCAAAGGAGCTACGTTGGTCTTGAACCACTGCTCCACTTGGGGTTTGGCCTCTGGAATTGGTGTTGCATCATCTGCGAACACCATCGGTGTAACAAACACCATAACCAGGGCTAGTAATATGGACACATTTATGTATCCCATTTTTTATTTTTATTTATTTAAAACTAAAAAATTATTATTTTTTTGTTTTTTTTACTCTTTTTTTTTTTTTAATTTTCTCAATGGTTTAATGAGAAGATGGCCATGAAGTATATATAGTGTTATAAAAGATCCGAGAATTCTGAGTTTCATTTTTTCGTTTGCTATTATTATTTGTGGTTATCCATTTTTATATCCTGCTATTATTTCTCCTGTATTTTTCTGTATGATTTTTTTCTCTGAATATAAATATTTTCGACAAGATTTATACTACACATTCAATGATTGACAGGAAAAATTAAAAATCGAACCAGTCAAATATGTATATTATCTTTTATGTATTGCATGATTTGCTTCTTCACTATTGACTAATGTGGCTTAGCTTAAAGAATCAATTTCATTTGACCAAAAAGACAAAGAAAAAAATCATTTTCGTTTATCAATACTATTGAGACATGAGACTTCTTTTTAAGCCCTCCGACTTACTTTATAAGTGAGCTATTATCATTTAATTTTAGTAAAAATATTATAGCAATTGTTTGAAACTAACAAAATAATATTCATTTTTTCACCATTATTATGATTACATTGTAGCTTCTTTATATTTCCTTTGTTTTTATACCATAAAAGTATAATATATCCACGAGACATTATTTCAGAAGTGATTTGTCATATATCAACACCACACTCATGACTTTTAAAGAAAAATGAGGACATAAATTACTATTAAATATGACATGGATTTCACCTTATCGTGATGGTAAATTGCCAAATATGACTCAAAACTTGATTTGAAATGCAAAAGTAAACTCAAACTTGAATCAAATGCAAAAGTAACTTAAAAGCTTATTGAAATTACAACCAACCCCTTGTGAACAAACAAAAAAATGGTTTTTTTTTACGTTTCTAGCCCTCGTAAGTCGTCTGCCCAGACGACTTAACTTAAAGTCGTCCAGACGACTTAACTTAAAGTCGTCCAGACAACTTAACTTAAAGTCGTCCAGACGACTTAACTTAAAGTCGTCTAGGATAGTTTTTCTTAAAAATAATTTAAAAATTGTGTAATAAATATCTTGATAAATGAAAAATTGGGATTATGTAATTAACATATGTCTTAAGAGATATAAATTAAGATATAACAAAAGTCAGTTGTTTTCAGCATAGATGAGTGAAAGTAGTGAGTCATGATATTCTTTAGTTTAGGTTTCACCAATATATGTTATAGTATTGTATGTGTTTCTTAGGGTTAGATTTTCGAAAGCATAAATGTTTTTTTGAAAAATTAAAAATTTACCTAAGTGTGTTTATTTCNTCTTAAGAGATATAAATTAAGATATAACAAAAGTCAGTTGTTTTCAGCATAGATGAGTGAAAGTAGTGAGTCATGATATTCTTTAGTTTAGGTTTCACCAATATATGTTATAGTATTGTATGTGTTTCTTAGGGTTAGATTTTCGAAAGCATAAATGTTTTTTTGAAAAATTAAAAATTTACCTAAGTGTGTTTATTTCCGTGTATAGTTAACACTATTTAAGTATAATTTAATTTTATAACGTGGTTAGTTAGTTAATTTAGTCAATTTAGTTTAGGTTTAGGGTTTAGGGTCTGGACAACTGAAATATCAGTCGTCTGGTAAATAATTTTACACAGACGACTTACAAGTAAGTCGTACTAATATTCCCGCCTAAAATTTAAAAAAAAAATTATTTTCCCGCTTGAATAATTTAAACCAGACAACTTACTTGTAAGTCTTCTGGACGACTTACTTGTAAGTCTTCTGGACGACTTACTTGTAAGTCTTCTGGACGACTTAGTTATATGTCTTCTGGACGACTTACTTCTAAGTCTTCTGGACGACTTACTTGTAAGTCTTATGGACGACTTACTTGTAAGTCTTATAGACGACTTACTTGTAAGTCTTCTGGACGACTTACTTGTAAGTCTTCTCGAAAGTCTTCTATTTTAGTTTCCCGCTAGAAATATTTTAGTTTCCCGCTAAAATTATTAAAGTCTCCTAGACAACTTACATTTCAGTCTTCTGAATCAAAAATATTTAACCTAATTTTTTTTTTGTTTCCTTATATAAAGAAAAATTTACACATTCTCTCTCCTCCTCTCAAATGTCTGCAACAAAAAATGTAATGTTCAACTTTCTAGAACTATCCAACCTCTCTATAATCTCTTTGAACTTATAAACACCAAACTTTATATCAATTTATTGTTTTTGTCTCATGTCTTTCTCATTAACTTATCTTGTTTTGTAGGTTTTTCATCACATGATTCTCATATTCCACTCATTTGAAGATATATCTATTAACTTTATATGAATTTTTCAGTTATGTCTCATTTTTTCTCACTAATCTATCTTTTTTTTTGCAGGTTTTTAATCAGATGGTTCTCATTTTCATTTGGATATGTATGTTATGTGTTCTATAAAAGTATATATATCTAAGCTTTCACTTATTTTCTGTGTGTTTTAAGTCATTTGAATATTTTTTGATATGTAGGTTTTTCAGATCTGGGCTTGATATGCAGGTTTTTCAGATCTGGGCTTGATATGCAGGTTTTTCAGATCTAGAAGTCTTCTGGACGACTTACTTGTAAGTCTTCTGGACGACTTACTTGTAAGTATTCTGGAAGACTTACTTGTAAGTATTCTGGAAGACTTACTTGTAAGTCTTCTGGACGACTTACTTGTAAGTCTTCTGGACGACTTACTTGTAAGTCTTCTGGACGACTTACTTGTAAGTCTTCTGGACGACTTAGTTATATGTCTTCTGGACGACTTACTTGTAAGTCTTCTGGACGACTTACTTTTAAGTCTTCTGGACGACTTACTTGTAAGTCTTCTCGAAAGACTTCTAGGACGACTTACCTGGAAGTCGTCTAGACTTCCTGTAAGTCATCTGGAATTCTTGTAAGTCATCTGGAATTCATGTAAGTCGTCTAGAAGTTGTCTGGAAGTTGTCTGGAAGTTTTCTGGACTTTCTGAAAGTTTTCTGACGCTGTCTTCTTTCATATCAAGTGGAGTCCAAGCTTGTCTTTGTAAAGAATGATCTATTATATTTTTGTAAAATCAGTTCCCAAGATGTAATATATGTGCTATTTTTTTTACACATGTACAAATCAATGAAATAATAGACTTCAGTAGCTTTTTTCATCTTTTGGATCTCCCATATGCAATAATAAATCACAATGGCCTTCTGCTCATCTTAATAAACAAGAATGTTGGTAGCCTCGTATTGATACAACATTTTAAGAAGCATTTTAACCTTTCTTCCAACAAATCATCATTGGTGTTAAAGCATATTACATGTTTTACAAGGTTGTGTTGAAAAACTTAGTCAAATTTAGTAAAATTAAGGGAGAAAAAATATTTTGAAAATATGAGATTTACATATCATGAAGTTATTTAACACTTTTAAAAATACAAGTAATTCAAAAAAAAAAAAAAATTATCACTTAATTCAACCAAGAAAATTTAGTAAAATTCACAGAAGATCAAACATTAAGGGATTTGATCAAATATTTTTATCACTCTATTCAACCAAGAAAACTTAATAAAATTCAAAGAAGAGCAAACATCTAGCTAGAAGACTTTTCAGATGACTTAATTATTAGTCATCTGAGAAGACTAACACCAATTCTTAATACATACTCATAAAGCCTGGACGACTTAGTAGAAGAGTTATAATTAAGTCTTTTGGAAAGTCATCTAGCTGGAAGAATTTCCAGATGACTTAATTATTAGTCATCTAAGAAGACTAACACATATTCTTAATACATACTCATAAAGTCTGGACGACTTAGTAGAAGACTAATAATTAAGTCGTCTGGAAAGTCATCCAGCTGGAAGACTTTCCAGATGACTTAATTATTAGTCACTGACGCAGACAACATACAAGTAATTCGTCCAGACGACTTAACCGTAAGTCGTCCAAACGACTTAACCGTAAGTCGTCCAGACGACTTAACCGTAAGTCGTCCAGACGACTTAACTGTAAGTCGTCCAGACGACTTAACTGTAAGTTTTCCAGACAAGTCATTTTTGCAATTGAAATTTAAATGAGACGACTTACTTCTAAGTCGTCCAGCTTTGTATGTTAAAAAAAAAGGGGATAGTTTTGCATTTGACCGAATTGTGTCAGATATTTGAATTTTCTTGGACGACTTACTAGTAAGTCGTCCAGGAAAAGTCAAATATCTTACACAATTCGGTCAAATGCAAAATTAGTCTGTTTTTCCTAGACAACTTACTTATAAGTCGTCCAGATTTTTTTTTTTTAACATACAATGCTGGAAGACTTAGAAGTAAGTCGTCCAGCTCATCCAGAAGACTTACGAGTAAGTCTTCCACGCGAACAGATCTTGAAAAAATTTCAATTTCGTACCTTAAACTAGGTGAGATGACTTTCTTAGCACACAAAGTCTTCTCCAACCACCCAGAATATCAAATGAAAGTAACCCACCAAGAATTGTATGCTTAAATGGCTCTATCAACCATAAAAAAATTTGAATCAAAAGCTTGGGTTTTTGGTATGAATATGGAGACAAAGTGAAAGAGATGTTGTTTTTAGCTCATAACAATTGAGAAAGAGAGAGTGTAAACCGATTTTAGGTGCATTAAGAGCTTCAAATTGGTTATTCATGGTAGTTAGGGTATTGATGGCAATGTCAATCTTGTAAATACTTGAAGATGATGAGGTTGAGAGAGTAAAAAAAATAATTTTCAAAAAAAGAAAAAGAAAAAAGTGTAATGGCATTTTCGTAAATAATGTGAACAGATGGGGTGAATAAGACAAATGAAAAATCAAAAAACAAGAAAGATTAGTTTTGTGTTTGACTTTGAATTTTGAGTCAAATTTGCAAAAAGCCCTATCGTGATATGTACAATTTCATTTGTGAACTTTACATTGAGATAAGACTTTTAAAATATAAGACTTTCAGTTGTATAAGATATATGTTTCCACTTTACTAATCTAAGAACCAACTTTAACATATTCTTTTTTGCCATCATTTCAAATATTCTCTATTTTGTTACATGGATAGATATTCATTCTAGATCAAAACTTAATTCAAATTGGTAAATAATTATATATATATATATAGCAGCTATCAATATTTTTAAAAAATTACAAATATTGTAAGCTTTACAAAAATATATCTAACTTTGGCACCGATTATTAAGATATTCCGAAAATCTAAATGGTTATATGGTATTAATATAGAGTTCCTCCGTTTTATATTAGTATCGTTGTAGAGAAAAAAATTATTATAAAATAAGTGTCATTTTATAATTTCATTATAAAGTTTATCAATATTATTTAATATTTTATCTTTTTATTAGTTAAAGTATAGTTAGCTGTATTGATAATGATGTTTTTATATAAAATATATATAAAATTAATCTTTTTTAATCTGTGTGTATAAGTCTAAAATGACATTTAAAATGAAACGGAGAGAGTATTATATATTTGTGATATCTTAAATTCAAAGATTGAACTAATTTTTTAAAAAACTATATACACAGATTTCAGATATAACAAGCGTACAATTCTCTATGATTTTGTGTGCATTTTCAAAACATACTTTTAACCTATTAATATAAATTAACCACATTGTGGTGATTTAGTGGTTTCCACTAGAGGAGGAATTGCCATGTTGGTCCAGGCCAGGGATCGATTCCCCTCTAATACGAAATTATTAGTTCTACATGTGGCCACACGGATATGCACTATTGCTTTCGGCTCATTTGAATGTCCAGGAGAGGGTCCATTCGTGGGCTATACCTCCGTTGTGTCTTTAATAGTCTCGGATTTAACCATTTTTCAGTAAAAAAAAAACCTATTAATATAAATATTGGCAATCCTTTTATTTATCAGTATCACAATGGTAAACAAAACAATCATATATTCAATTATCAAAACCACAGCCAAAATAAATGTGAAACCTTCTAAAATAGGTTGGTGCATACACGTTCAAGTTCTATTACATTACATGCAAGTAAGACACTTTCATATCCGGGCAAACGTTGTAGATAATTTATCAGAAGAGAATGTACTATCTACACTTATAATGTAATTACAATTATAAATGTAAAAGGTTACAAAAGTTTAAAACACATTCTTACAACTAACAAATATCTCTTTTAGTATCTTAATTTTATAAAGAGAATAAAAGCGCGGATCAAAAGTACACGACGGTTCCAACAAATGATTTTACACGTTTCATATGTAACTAGTTTTCAGGGGCTGAGGGAGGACTCAACCTGGCTCCACAACGCCTCAGCGTAAGCCTTCTCCTCTTGCTTCTCCTCTTCTGCAACAAACTCTCCTGTTCCTGCAGCTTCAGTTTCATCTTCTTCTTCCTCCTCTTTGTCTTCCACTTCTTCCTCAACTTCAGTTTCTGCAAAGAAACTTCTGGAGCCTTCCCTGAACTCAGCCAAAGCTTCTCTCATAGCCAAACCTGTAGCCGGTCTATCACTCCATCCATACTTTGGTGCCGGTACAACAAACGGCAACACAATATCATCAATCTTAGACCCATCACATGAGTCCGTTTCTTCATGCGGTGGAGGGAAAACAAATACAATCCCGAGCTCGTAGTTGCATACACGAAGCTTACTGACTAATCTCATGGCATTGTGAGACTGGTCCTGGTTGTTCCTGGAGGATCTGGAAATGGTCTGTCCCCAGGCAGCTGCACTGAAATTATGTGAGCCGCAGTAAACCCAACCAAATGAAGATGACCGTAAACCTCTAGTGGATGTGAAGCGTCTTCTCGCCACCTATTCATAGTATAAGACATTTAACTACTGTATAAGAGTAAGTTTTGGCGAATTCGTTAGTCTTTTATTGCTAGTTTTCATTAGTTCTTACCTTGATATGCATCGGGTGCCCAACTCTGTCCTGAGGATTAGGAACTGCATCGTGTAGCACGTTGTTATATCTCAGCTTTTGCCAGGTTTTCTGCACAAGATATTCCAAAAATAACAAGTTCCGAAGTTCATTATTTCAACCACATTACTGCTGAGTCATGGACAAAGGCTTAATTATGCAAAGTGAGCAAATACCTCAGAGAAGCAAAGCAGACGTCTTGACGACAAGACACCATGCTGGCCACTCTTCACCCTTTCAATGGTAGGGAAGATTATTTTAATGGAAGGAGCTTCCCGTTCTTCTCTAGCACTCCAGCATCCCCACTGATACAGAACATGGACCACAAGTTTCATGCACGATATTTGTAGTGATAGCTTTTAAGGGTGCTTCGAAACAAAATCGTACCTCAGGATCAGACTCCTGGGAGTCAAAATGCTGTAACACTTTTTTACCTGCAGCTGATGCAAAATCAGCTTGAAATCCTGTAGTTACTGAGCCTCCAACCGAGGATGCACCTATTGAAAAAAAAACATCTATAAAGTTAATACCCTGGAGTATTACTTCTAAAGGTATTTGTCTACCATAGCTATTTAGAAATGCACTTACTGTAGACGAAATCAGATTCCTGAGATTCGGGCCACTTGTAACAGCCTAACACCTTTTGAGGAATGATACAGACAATATCGTTAAGACTCAAGGGTTTGAAAGCACAGTTCTATTGTTCTTCTTAGCCATACTTACCTCTTGTAGCCTCCAAATGCCAGAACATCTCTGAAGTGAAGCAATCAACGAACACAAGGCAACAACATGATGCGGTTGAATCAACTTTGACATATCTGAAATGGACACTCCCTTAAAACGTAAAGAGAGAGTATTAGATGTATCCATGGCCTATTTATGCAAAGTATCTCGCTAACCTATGCTGAGAGTCCAATACCTGTAATACATGCAGCATCAGTTGCACCTTCTGGTTGCTCCTACTAGAAGCAGCTGCCAGGACTTCATCCCGATAGACATAGCCCACAAATTTAAAGAACCCAATATCCCACAACGGAGAAACCCATTTTGCAATATTCCGCGGCAAAAAGCCTAGCTGGACAAACTCTGTCACAAAGCACTTTGTATCAGTCACAGAATGAAATTTCATGTCAAGGACACATGAAACTACTTACCGTCTCTCGAATCATTATTAGGGTTAGCAACATGGACGCTCACAGCATTAACGTCAGCAGGCACATTAGTATTTCTTCTCATAACAAGTTCCAACATCCCGAGAGAATTTTCACGGGTTCTGCTAATATATGAAGCCAGTCGTTTCAGTTGTGCTCCTGTAGAATCACTTGTAGAACGGAAAAGGTAACTGAGGCCAACGACAGACGCTTCAACAGATCCCAGAAAATTTTCATCGGAAGACTGAAACAAGAATCATACGATTAGTCAAAAAAGGGATGCAATGAATAAAACTTCTATACAGGACACAATCAAACTAAGTGAACCAGTAAGACATGAGTTCATGGAAAATGAAGCTACTCACGGTGCTTGAGCGAGCAGATTCTGTAAGATAAGACGGCTTATAAGAATGAATTCCAGGCACTGAAGCGATAAGATGACCTGCTGAGTGTTCAAAGTTGTATTTTGTGAACTCCAGAATCCAATGGGCTTGACTTGGAACATCAGCCAAAAGTGTCGCAGCAAATCCAGCAAGCTGGGCACTAAAATCTGAACTTAAACCACGATTGGTTTCCTTTTTGAAATGGCTGAAAAGGGATAAGAAATCAGGGTTTTCTCTTCGTGGAAAATCTTGCCACCAAACTGTGTTGGTCACGTCATCCCACTGGAATTTGAAAACGAAAAGTGATGAAACTCTCTGAATATAACTAGAACTTTTTTAGCACATGTGATGCCCCAGAGCATATAGGATACATTACTATATACTTAAACGTACATTCTTACCTGTCTTGCTACCAAGTTTGCAGACGTAATAATTACACGAATATTATCTTCTCTTTGCAAAATAAACAGCTTGGGGTGATGACAAGCAATACCGCGGTTCTTTCGGTCTTTCCCAAATGCAATTTCCTCAGGAAATGGTGGAAACCTACGACAAGATACAAAAATCGTTAGAAAAGTAGTGAAGTATTAGTAACAGACGAGGAAAATAATTATTCATCAGTTCCTTTTGAAGGAAGTCTGATCCGGTATTACGTACACCACAGATACATTTGGATAATTTGGCAAAGGAGCAGCAGTTCTTGCATCAGGGCTTGAGCTCCAGCATCTCTCAGCATGGTGACATGCAACAGTCACAGGCAAATGACTAGGTATCTCACAACCAGTAAGAAACCTGCTGATACAGCTTAGTCAGACTCTTAAACAAGCATGGGAACAAATAAGGATATAGTATCAATTCTTCTGTTAAGACTAATGGGAAAATAAAAGAAACAAGAACTTTTTCGACATACCATAAGATATCACTTGTAAATGTTGCAAGGAAGATTTGTGAGATGCTTTCCACAGGGTAAAGAAGTTCTGGCAAGGAAACCACCCGTTGACTACCAGTTGGGCCTTCTTCAATATACTGAAGACGATTTAAATAAAAGTTCTTCCCAGGTGACTGTAGAGAACATTGATAGCTTTCTTCGTTATTGATGTAATTAAGATCGGGAGTGTTTTCTTTCTCCTCACCAAAAGGAAGCACTTTCTTAGTCTTCTCGCTAACAGAATTACAAGCAGCAGCATCACTTTCTACCTGGCTAACCAAGTTCAAGACGACTAGACTTTTACCTATATGTAACTGTGGGCTTGGCTGCTCATCCCTCACCTCCAAAACAGACATATCATGACCCATCTCACGATTGTTCTCATCATTCTTGACTTCTCTATCATCTGTCACTATACCTACTTTTGACCTTAACATTGTACAACAAGATACGCATTGTTTTCCAGAATCCGATTGCCTAAGGCAAGATAGAGGATCATCACTATTCAATACATGTCTACAATAGCTTACAAGAGAGTTCAACCTCTCAACAACACCACCAGCTTCACAACGATAAAACCCAGAAACCAGAGAACTGACTTCATTTTCCATCGGACCATAAACCCTTTTGCTTCTCTTCCCACTAGAAAAAGTTCCTATAGAACATCCTGAAGAAACAGAACTATCTCTCCCTTCAAAATCAATCTCCTGAACCACAAACCCAACTCTACCATGCCTATAACACAACCCTTCCTTCCCACAAACAAACAACACCTCATCACCAACCAAAACCTCTTGAATCCTACCTCTCCTAACCCTAACACGATTAACATACACACCATTCAGAGAAACCCTAAATCTCAAACTTCCCTTCTCCACATCACTCTTCCTGAACTCATCTAAAAATTGAGTAAACCCACCAGAAGGCAACAAAATCACACCATCAAAAATGTAAAGTCTGTGACTTTGACTATCGAATAGAATCTGAGAGTGGTTTCTACTGATACCGACATGATCAAGGACGAAATCGCACGACCCATTATCAATACTTCGACCAATCGTGTACAGACGATCTGAATCGACGTGGAGTGACTCTACGGGAAAACCAGAAGACCGAGAAATCAACGGTGTGCCGAGACTGTGGATACGAATCGAAACTTTAGGGCTATGTCTTCTCTTCATAGCGCATAGGATTAAAGAATGAACTCTCAAAAGAATTAGGAAGAGGAAAGGTAGAGAAAGCAAAACCCTTTTCCCCCAAATTGATTTTCCCTCCCAAATCAATGTGCTTTGGAAGAGCCTTCGCTTTCTGTTTGGAGGGAAGGATAAAGCTGCCCTTCGCCTGATTAATATAACTTTCCCGCTTTTGTTTTGTTTTCTTTTAGAAGGGGAAATATTTAATACTTTTCCCGCAGGTATGTAAGTTCCTTTTGTACCTATATGATCCTTATGGTACTTTTACTTTCTAAACTATCAAAAAAAAATTATCATCTAATTGTTGTATATATTATTGTAATCAATTAGTTGGTGAATTAGTTTTTCTTCGGCTAATGTGTGCTTCTTTAGAGCGTGATCATATCGTATGTGGATGTAAACAAATGTGTATCTTGTTATTTATATGGTTCAGTGAAGTGAAATTTTAAAGAATTATGATAATTTGATTCTAGATCTCTTTGTTATATATAATTTTTTTGGTGTGGTAGGCCTTTTGGCATTGGGTGTGATGTACCAATCGATCAGTTACTGACGCTCATAGAAGACAAAGGTCTGTAGATGACTCGATACCAAATCCGCATAGGGCTATAATGTATCCGCGAAGGTTACACATATGAGTTTTGTTCCAACTTTGTTTGTGTGTTATGTTGAGAGGTAGTTAACTCGATGTTGTGTATATTTGTCACCTAGATTTTATTATTCAAGTTAAAGAACAATCTTAAACGTTCTTGATACTAAAACCCAAAACGAGGGAAACAAGGCCGAAAAAATAATATTATACATCCGAGACAAAACCTTACAAAAGGGAAGCAACATACACTAATGCTAGTGAAAACGATTAAGCAAAACTCTAATGAAATTATCTCAAATCTGCAAATTTTCTAAGACTCCTGGAAACATGAATCTGAAAATATCGTTTCTGCCTGCGCGGCTAACCGAACGATAACATCTTCCTTCTCTCGAGATAAGATCAAGAATATGTGTTTGTTATTACAGAGTTAAAAATATTTGACAAAGCTGTGTTGACATTATATTGTATCCAGTCTGTGTTCGTTTCTTTTGTTTGGTAAAGTAGTGAATATTTTAAAAAATCATTTTTGAAGGGCATGCGAGTGCGTGACATTTTGCAATCATGCTTCATAGTGGACAAAACCGGATCGTGTATCTACTGATAAAATAAATTTTAATCAGGAATTTCTTTGTTACCAAAAAAAAAAAAATCAGGAATTTCTTTTCGTGTCATGATTTATCTGTAAAGGGTTTTGCTATCGAACGTGACTGACGGTGATTGGAATTTTGGAATAGCTAGTGGTTATATAAAGAAATACGCATACACGTGTTATATATTTAGTTGTTTGTTTTTGTCGCTGTCGTGTCCCGGTGTATCATGTGTGTCTGAAATTTTTTTCTTTATTTGCTTTTCTAGAAGAGGAAATGGAAAATGCGTGCGGCGAATTTTGTGGGTGGATAATTAATACACCTTGGTGGCCTTTGCGTTATAGGTTCGTTCTCACATTAGCATGAAGCATTGGAAAATTTAGGGTATGTATAAGGCCTATCACCTATGTATAAATATTATCCAAAACTATATATATATGCCAAAACAATGGAATTTGATTCTTAATGAATTTACCTTATACTAGTTCCCACGTGAATTACAATCATTCATTTTATACGATATTCCAATGTTATAAAAATAGCCAAGCACATCTTATAAAAGATTATTATTTATATAGATGTCTAGACCTTTTTCTGAACGTTTCGGTTGATATTTTAAAAATTGATTTAAAAAATTGTTTTACTCATATTCGATTTGTCAACTGAACGAATGTTTAAAAATGACTAATTCTTGGGTTCCCCCTAAGATAAACCTCTAAGTTCACCATCCAATAAAATTGTAATATTTCAGATTTGATATCTTTTTAAAATGGAAACAAAATCTTATTAAGTTATATTATATTTTCAAAAATAAAAATACAAAATAAATAAAAATAATAATAATTAATAAAAACGAAAATAATTATTTTTAAAGAATATATTTTAACACTAAACCCTAAAAATTTTTTGTTTATGATTTACTCAATGGTTTAGGGTTTAGTATTAAAGTTTAGGGTTTAATGTTTAGTATTAGAGTTTAGGGTTTAGTGTTTATAATTTACCCAAGGGTTTAGGGTTTAGGATTAGAGTTTAGGGTTTAGTGTTAAAATATTTTTTTTAAGAATTTTTTATACAAATTATTCAAAGGTTTATGATTTACCTAAGGTTTAGGATTTAGGATTAGAGTTTAGAGTTTAGTGTTAAAATATTTTCTTTACAAAAAAATATTTTCATTTTTATTAATTATTATTATTTATTTATTTATGTATTTTTCTTCTTAAAAACATAATATAACTTAACAAGATTTTGTTTCCTTTTTAGAAAAATATCAAATATGAAATAATGCAATTCTATTGGATGGTGTTCACCCATAAAGGTGAACCTAAGAATAACTCCTTAGAAATCACGTAGATCGATTTTTAAAATACTACGATATTCTATTAAATGAATAAGTTGACTTAATACTTACCTTAGAATTATTACACATGCAATTTAATTATTTTATCTAAAAAGTTAATTACTCTAATAACATAACTTCAGAAAGTATCAACTGATAATTGTATAAGGATAAACTCCAATTCATTAAAGGAAAAACTTAGAAATAACAACATAAACGTGATCAAGTAGTATGAACATGATCGACATATTCGAGTAATACAACGGGATTAGAAAGGTGCTAAGTATTCTGGTTCGAAACCTAATAAACATAGATTCACCCGCTTGTATGGCCATGTAATGTAAGTATTTACTTCCAATTGTGATTAACCAGAACGGTCTGGTGCACCAAATTCCTATAAAATTAGTCGGTTGAAATTTGATTCATTAGATCTAGCCAGATTATCAAAAAGAAAACTGAAATAAATATTCTTTTTTAAACAAAAACTGAATTAAAAATTAATTACAAAAGAATCGATATTTGTTTTAAGTAATCAATCTCCATTTTAAAGATCAAATCAAACATTATTTAATTTTTAATCAAAATTTAAGATTTGAAAGTAAGAGAGTTTTGGGCACAAAAGAAACATCATTATCTAAAAGAAAATTTTCTACCAATCTGTAGTTGATAAGAGTAGGTGAACATGTTAAAGCATAGGATATACACGATGACTTTTTGATAGTTATCTATTTTTGCTATAGTATCAGCCATTTCCCAAAATACTTTATTTCTATTTTTCATCTCTACTTGGATAAGCAAGAAACAATTCAATAAACTATTTTGTCAAATCTGAACAGAGAGTTGTATATAACATCTAAATTTATAAATGAGAATAATCAGAAGGACTAGCTATGCAAAATCGGGAAAAAGTAGGCTTTTAGGGCAGATCTCTAGTTGTTAAACTCGAACTCCAAAGTGAAACAGACAATGTGGTTTTCAACTTTAATCTGTACGACCTCAAACCCAACTCTTTTCTGCAAACAAAATCTAATAAAAATACTTTTCAAATGGCATTTACTCGTAATTTATCCGAAATAACGAGGGTAAAACAGACAAATCAGCTTCCCTCCCTCTGGTAACTCTGTTTATATCTCTTTGACCTTCTCTTTGCACAGATCCCCTGAGCTCTCTCTTACCTCTAATCTCGAGATCCGCCGTTAGCTTTGTGTCCTAAACTCAGAGCTTCTGTCTGATTCTTCTTCTCCTTCTCATTTTTGTGTTTAGAGAAGGATCTCTCCAGATCTAGTTTGTGTTTCTCTCATTTGGTTAATCTAAGGTATGTGCTTCTTCTAAAGAATTCATGTAGATCTATCCGTTTGTTGTTTATAATTGATCTGATCAAACGTTAGAAATCAATCATCTAGCTGGTTAGAAACGTTTTCATTTGGTTTGATTAGTCCAGATCGAGATAAATGTACATTTCCATGATTAATGTTATAGCCTTTTTTTTTTTAAATCAGATGCATGTAGCTCTGCATTGATCTGATAGTGCCATAATGAAATTTGATCATATAAAACATTTAATTATGCATGTGTTTGGTGTTAGTGAACAATGGCATCAGCGAGTGAGAACCAATGGCTCAAAGGAAGAGTGAAGGCTGTAACCTCTGGAGACTGTTTAGTGATCACAGCTTTGACCCATAACAGACCAGGAGCTCCACCGGAGAAGACTATTACTCTTTCTTCTCTCATGGCACCTAAGATGGTGAGCTTTACTCGATATTCCAAAAGTCAACTCTTTTGTGCCCCCTCCATCATTAATTGTTTTGATTTTTTTTTTTTTTTTTGCATTTTAGGCTCGTAGGGGAGGTAAAGATGAGGCTTTTGCATGGGAAAGCAAGGAGTTTCTGAGGAAACTTTGCATTGGAAAGGTACCAAAATCTAAATCATTTAGTAATTGTATACATTAAAGGTATATTTTTTTCTCATCTTAAGTAGATGTTTCTTCTATGAACAGGAAGTTGCTTTCAAAGTGGATTACAAAGTGGAAGCAATTGCTGGAAGAGAGTTTGGTTCTGTTTTCCTAGGAAACCAGAATCTTGCAAAGCTTGTTGTTCAAAATGGTTGGGCAAAGGTGATACTAATAATCATTTTATTTCACTTGTGTTGTGATAGGTCAGTGTTCTGACATAATGCTTGTACTATGGACAGGTTAGGGAGCCAGGTCAGCAGAATCAAGGTAAGGTTAGTCCTTACATTACAGAGTTGCTACAGCTTCAGGAGCTGGCTAAGCAAGAAGGATTTGGTTGTTTTAGCAAGGTTTGTGTTCTTTTCCTAACTTTATTCTCCCAAAATCATTGAGTTTTCTTATTGATTTGATGGTGGATTTTATTAGGTTCCTGGTGCTGCTGAGGCATCTATCAGAGATCTTCCTCCATCTGCCATTGGAGATGCTGGAGGCTTTGATGCAATGGGGCTTTTAGCTGCTAATAAGGGTAAGCCTATGGAAGGTATTGTGGAGCAAGTCCGTGATGGAAGTACTATTCGTGTTTATCTGCTC